GGTTTAAAAGGAAAAAAAATTATGCATAAACTTAACTTATCCCTAATATTTGGTTAAATAACAAGTTATATCTTATACAATATTAGGATTTATAAATTAGTCTCTAAAATTACACCTAAATTCATAATGTCCAAAATGTAATGGATATTTAGCTGGGCGGGCGGATGTGGGGCGGGCGGATGCGAGGTGGGTAAGGTGTCAAACCCATTACCCGCCCACTACCCGCGACGGGTACCACTTTCTAAATCCACACCCGCCCACTACCCACTAAAATTATATCCATCCCCGCCCCAATTGGAGCAAGTGTGGTGCGGAATCCACGAAATTGTTCCCGTTTGCCATCCCTAACTGTGGTCCCCCACAAAAAATTGGCTATGATAGATTTCAGCTTCTTCTGAATACCCACGGGCATTTTAAAAAAAGACATGTAAAAATTTGGGAGTGTATCCAGGATCGATTTTACAAGAACAGCTCTTCCCGCAAACGATAACGACCCTATTTTCCACCCTGCAAGCTTCTGATAAAATTTATTCACTATCGGTTCCCACATAGATACAGAATTCCGCATTGCGCCCAAAGGAAGCCCTAGATAATCCGTCGGAAATTCACCACGAATACACCCAATAGAATTTTCCCAATCCTCAAATATTTGATCTTCTATATTTATCCCAAAAATCTTGCTTTTCAATAGATTTAGCTTCAAACATGTACACAATTCAAAGACATCCAAAACCCTCTTAATATTCTTCAATTGACCTTCTGAGGCTCTGCAGAAAATTATCATATCATCAGCGAATTGTAAGTGAGAAAGCGTAAGATGAATTATCTCGGCCTATCTGAAAACCATCAAACAACCCCAATTTGACTGCTTTATAAAGCAAAAGGTTTAGAAATTCTCCCACAAGATTAAAAAGAAGTGGAGATAAGGAACATCCTTGGTGTAGTCCCCGAGAAATGTTGAAACTGAATGTTGGAGAACCATTCACAAGAATTGAAATTGAAGTAGAAGTTAAGCACTCTACTATCCAAGACCGCCATCTTTCTCCAAATAAACTTCATTATTTTGATCAAGATATCCCAATCCACAGTATCATATGCTTTCCTAAAATCCACTTTGAAAACAATTCCTTTCCTCCCTTTCATCCTCCAATAATCAATACCTTCATTAGCCAAGAATGAACAGTCGCATATCTGTCTCCCTGGGATGAAAGCAAACTGTGAAGGGCCAATCAACACATCTACACACATCCTCAACCTTCTTGATAGGACCTTGGATAAAATTTTGTACAAACCACCAACCAAACTAATAGGTCTATACTCATCAATACGAACTGGATTCGGCTTCTTCGGAATAAGTGTGATAAAGGAATGATTCACACCTCTCCCTAACTTTTTCCCGTCATAGAAACCCTTGAAAAACTTCATAATGTCATCCTTCAAAACTGACCAAAATTTCTTTAAAAACCTCATGTTCAATCCATCCGGTGCCTTATTACTGTCCGAAGACGCAATTGCCACCCAAATCTCTTCCTCCGAGAAGTTTCTTTCAAGAAGAGCAACTTCATTCTCAGAAAGCCGTTTAAAGTTCAAATCCAAATGCTCCACCTCCACCGTAGGATGCAAGTTATAGATATCCCTGAAATATTCTTGAATAATTTTTTTTATCTATTTCGGATCCGATAACAAAACACCGCTGACATCCAAAGTTTTTAATGCATCGACTCTCCCTCTATTTGCTGCACATTGGTGGAAATATCTAGAGTTCCGATCACCATTCTGAATCCAATTCGCCCTTGATTTTTGGTACCAAATGGATTCACCTTTTTTATACAAAGACCATAGCTCATTCTTATCTTTTACAATGTCCACCATCGACACCATTGAATTCCCTTGTTGTAATAATGCTTCCCTGTCTGAAATAGATTTTTCCAGGTTCTTTATCAATCTCGGCAATTACAATCTGCTGTTATTAGACCACGTTCTGATCACTTCTTTTGATTCTTTAATTAAGACTTCAATTCCCTTCCTTTTTCCTTTCTTCAACTCTTCAATCTTTCTTTCAACTATATCTTTAAAACCCACCTCATCCATTATGTAACTAAAAAGTCTGAAGGGCTTTGGACCCCAATTTATCTTACTTGATTCCAAAGCAACTGCATTGTAATCCGACAGTGATTTTGGTAACAACACCTGTACAATGTCTGGGAATAGCCTTAAGAAATTGTTTGTAACTAGAAATTGATCCAGTCTCACAAATGTAGGGACTTACCTGTTATTACACCATGTAAAACTCCCTCCAACCATAGGTAAATCCACTAAATTTGCTTGAAAAACAAAATCCCTGAATAGCCTTGATGATGTAAAATCCTGTGATTTCCCAATCTTCTCATCCTGTGACAAATGCGCATTGAAATCACCTCCTACACAGACGGGACAGTCCAATGTGCTGATGAAACTTAACAATTCCTCCAAAAAAAAGCCTCATTTTCCGAATTTGTTGTAGGACCATACACATTTATAAAACAACAATCCTCATTTAACTCCTTGATAGTACCTTTAATCGCCACAAACCTGAATGTAATTTTCTGTATATGTGCCAAGAACCAATTATCATCCCAAAAACTTAGAATTCCTACGGATGCTCCTTCTGAAGGCGACACAACATAACCTCCAAGATACTTACTCCCTAATATCCTCTTCAATGATGGTTTAACCAGCTCCAATTTAGTTTCTTGTAAAAAGAGAAAAGAAGGTTTCCTATTACTTACAACCTTCCTAACAGCCCTTGCCTTTTCCTTCCTACCTAATCCCCTGATATTCCAAGTTACACAAGAGACCCCAACCATTTTTAGTACATTATAATCCTTATCCAGAGTTGCAGGATTAATTCCCGCCCTCTGCTCCCATGCTCGGATTCAAATCCGAAAACTTCTTGGCAAAGGCTTCCTCCCCTCCTTTGAATGTTACCCCCAACATTTTGTTAATCTGCCAAGTAGATTCAACATCCTCTTTCTCTACCGAACAATCAACCGATGATACAACCTTGTTGGAATCAACCTTATTTTTTTTTTTCCCGACCTGTTGTAAATTCTGTCACAGAAAACGGTATCATAATTCAATCTTCTTCGATTTGTTGGAGGGGATGAAGAAGACCTTCTGTTTATACAATTTCCCTTTGAATCACCCTTATCTCCTATATCAGGTTGAGCATTTTTTTTTATTTGTTTTATTTTTTCCTTCCAAAACACTCTCCTCTCGAACATATTGTGGCTCCTCCCGTACCAGGATATTATTCCCATTAACCGTGTTTGTAAGTTTAACTACTAGCCCAGAAGGAATGATTTTTAAATTGGAGGATGACTCATATAATTCTTTGGATTGGGCTTGTTCACTCCCCTCAAAATTATCAATTTCCCTCAACCCGAGACCTTCAAAATCCCCTCTGTGGCCCAGAAGGAATGATTTTTAAATTGGAGGATGACTCATAATTCTTCGGATTGGGCTTGTTCACTCCCCTCCAAATTATCAATTTCCCTCAACCCGAGACCTTCAAAATCCCCTCTGTAATTTAGCTCATGATCTCGTGTAATTGAAATTCCTGCTGTAATATTTTGACTTTCTCTACCATGCTGCATTAATTCTTGTCCCACAAAGTCGGCAGTATTATTTTGACTTTCTCTACCCTGCCTAAAAAGTTGTTGTCCCACACAGTCTGTAGACAGCCCATCAAATCCACCTAACTTCCAACCACTTGTCCACCCTACTCGTAAAGTCATCGGCTGACATAGTAGGTCCGCCAACTACCTTTGCAGCAGGACCTTCTTCTTCTTCCTCCTCCTTTGATGCATCATGATCGCTATTCACACCGTCGGCAGCCATCTCTGAAGACATTGCTGTAAAAACTTCCTGTTTTTTGAACACTGACCCCAAACTTTGTCTTAACCGTAAAAAATCTCCCATATGACCCAAACGTTAATTTTTCCGGAATATCAAAGGGGCTCGCCACCCTCAGTAGCAACCTTACTACGGATATATCATCTCTCTTGACCGTCGATTCATGAATACAAATTAATTTCCCCCACCTTGCAGCAAGTTTTTCCATAAATGAAACATTCCAGTATAGCAATGGAACTCCTACCAATTCAACCGAACAAAAAGCCAAAGGAATACCATCCTCATTCATAATAGGTTCCAACCATTCAAACCAAAAGGTTATTTCCTCTTTTTTATTCAACAACAGCTCCTCTAATTCTTCAACCCGAACTAAAGGTTATAATGCATGAGTTCCAAGCATATCCCCAGCTGGTTATCTTTACCGTAATCCCATCACTCACCAGACCCTTTTGAACTAGTTCCAAATCGAAAAGTGGTTTAATAATCCCCGTTAAGGATCTTTTAACTCAATCCGATTCATATGAGGGTATGTGCATCTCCCACATGTTCTTCTTCACAGAGTCCATTCTCATACGCCCCTCTCTATTTTGACTTATCCCCGGTTCAACCTCCTGCCTTCCATTGCAGACCAGTGCATCCTTATATGTTCTTTCATCCCTCAGGCGACAGAAAAATTCTGCTCCTTCTCTTCTTTTCCTTACCTCACCCTTGTTGGAATTCTCTTCTTCCACTTTTGATTTGCTAATATCACCATTCCTATTCTGATAACTCTGGTACTTTTCAGCCCCTACAGATAATCTCTTCCCATCAAACAATGTTCCATTAACATTCACAATCGCCTTCTTCAAGTCTTCCTCCTTTGCGAACTGAACGAACGCAAAAGTATGATTCCTATAATTTGGTTTATTTAAAACACTCGGAATATAGACCCTCAGAACACTACCCTGCTGTTGGAAGAGTTCCCTTACTACTCTCCTATAGACTCTCTTACTCAGATTATCTACGAACGCCGTCCATTCCTTATCGGAGGAATTTTGGCCTTTCTCACTCACTCTCTCTCTTACACTCTCTCTCATCGTATTTTTAAGCTTCGCACACTTCCATACTCTCTGAATCAATTAGTCTCCAAGATGCCTGAGCTGCTTGGATCCTATGTTAAATTCTTGAATATACTCCAGCTTTTTACCTTTTTTTTGAAAGTGTGCATCTACAGGTTTCTTGTGGTTGGAAGCATACAGCAGCGATATCAGGTTAGAACTTATCATGGGATCCAATACCGCATAAAAGATACTGCCTTCCTGTCACGTGAAAGAATTATTAATTAGAAACTGTAACTCCTATTTCTCAATTTTTATTTTTTCTCATATATTTGATATCAAATAGACATTTGAAGATGTAATATTGTGAGAAGTTGCTCAACATTAATTTCAGATCACAGAAAGACTTCTACAAAGTCTTAGGTCTTGAATGGAAAACTAAGTTGAAGGAAAAGAAAGCTTCTAAACCATGATATGAAGACTTGATATAAATGTAATACTATACGACCCAATCTGAAGTGTCCTGTCACCTGCTAGGAATTTACAATATTTTGTTGATACTAAAATTTAGGGAAAAAAACAAATAAAAACTATACTTTTAGCTCAAAGAATCATAAAATTAAGACCCGAAGCAACTAATAATTGATACATGAGCTAAATGTATTGATTATTGCATACAGTTTGAATGATCAAGTTCTTAAATATTCTGTGAAATGGTTTGTGTGAGAAATGTGTATTTGATGCCATTCATGTCCAGATGGCAAGGTTTTAACATGGGGTTGGGGAGGTTCTCATGGAACATTTTCTGAAGATGGGCATTCTTCTGGTGGACAACCGGTTTGCTTTTATTTTTCTTGTATTATTGGCATTTTATTGGTTCTCATTTTGCATTTTCTAAGAAATGATAGTTGAACCATTTGACATTGCAATTCTTTTATTGTGGTTCCTCATGAAGCGTTAGGGTAATGAAAACCTCATTGATTTTAGTGTTTTTCCCCCTTTCATGGCATCAGTTTCGTAACACAATATACCAAAAGAATAAAAAACAAGGGGATGCTCTTGATTTTCTTTACACTTTTTTTCTTGCATACCCATGTTTGAACAACTAGACCTGGCATGGGTATGGATTTTGCTTTAAATATGATGCTGCTAAGAAATCGAAGCCACAAATTAGACCAAACCAATAACTAGAATATCACTATAACTTAATGTAAGCTTAAAAAAGAAAGCAACTGGTAGAAGTGTGGAGAAAGGAAAATAAAGAACTTATTGGAGCATAGTTCCTTTGTTGTTCATTATTATGTTCCCATGCATTCCAAATTTGGAGATATTTCTTTTCGTTGTCGCTAAGGGGGAAAATGCGTGAAAGTTACAAGGAAATAACCCGAGAGTAGTCAATCCCTACACAGAGGAAAAGACAGAATTCAGCATATTAAGAGGATACACGAGATTTATAACGCCTACTCGTGCACCAGGCTCCATTTTGCTAGCCAGTCTACACTATTGTTTTTGTTTTTTGCTGGTAGCATTTTCTCAGGAAATGAATTAAATTTAGCAACTAGAAAGAAAGATATAGAATACTAATCTTCATCTTTGTCATTTTTTTATGGCTAGATTGTCAAGATTGTATGTACATGGATGCTATCATTTGCTGTTTGCTCTTTGTACAGGGTCATGGAAGTGATGTAGATTACATAAAACCTACGATGGTCCGGGTTGGTGAAAATGTTAAAGCGTTGGAGGTATCGTGTGGATTCAATCATACGGGTGCCATATTCGAATTCGTTTAAGCTCCAGCTTCAAATTTACCAAGTGATGTATGGTTTCCAGTATTCTGGGTGCTCATGCAGGGCAGGCAGGTCTGCTGATTCTTTGATATCGTTTGTGATTCATTTACAATGGTCTTAAACTTACTAATGGCTTGTAGAGTGAGTCAGGGCAGTGGGTGGAAGTCACAGTTCCAATCTCGTGTATGTAAATTATTATGTGTATTCGACATAGGCATACAAAGCATGGAATTCCATACCTCATTTCATCTAGAAATGAATAAATCATGAGTTGCTTTCGAGTTTAGCTATAGCTCGTTAGGTTATATCAATTAGAAAATTGTAGCAGTTTCTCATCTTGTGTGACGCACGATATATATATATATATAAACTATAAGTGGTCGTGTGCACGTGCCTTGTATAAAGTAAGGGATTATTATTTGATACAGTAAAAAATAACCTAACGGAACATGGCATTATTTGAGTATTATTTTTAGGGTAAATTTCATGTTTAGTATTATAATTATTATTTTTGTTCCTTTTTAGAGTCAATTTTTTTTTTTGTAAAATCCTACTTAAAGTTTGATTTTGGTTTTTCATCATTAAAAAATAACGGTGATGTTGACGTGTTATTATAAGATAATATTATGATATTATCACACCCGTGGTTCTATTAGCTTTTTACTGTAGGTGGTGTTAATGAAATTAAAATATAACATCAGGTATAATTTTTGAAAAAAATCAATAGATTAAAATATAATAAAAATGATAGTTGTTGAATTATATTAGGATAGTTAGTAGTGAAGAAAAATGAAAACTCTCTGGACGCTCGTTTGCTGGCTTAATGGGTTTCCTGAGTTTCTTCTTCGCTGTTGATTATTCCTTCGTTTTGGTTGTTTCTCATTTTCTCGTCTTGTTCTTTTTTCCTTTTCATGGGTTCGGAGTCGCTGGGTTTAGACTGGAGGAAGCTTTTTGTGGGTTCTAAGGAACAGTCGCTTGAATATTTTCCTCCTGTTCTGCAGGACGGTGTTGCTACTGTTAAACCCCCTTCTGAGGTGATTGAGGAGGGTATTGCTGACTGGAATCATGCGTTAGTGGGGCAATTTTTAGATTTGGCCCCAAATTTTTCCTCATTGCAACGAACAATTGCGGCGATTTGGGGGAATTCATCACAGGTTACGGTTAGTTGGCTGGCCCTAATCTTATGTTTTCTCGTTCTGAATTATGATCTAAGGGACTGGGTGATTGATACGGTCCCTGGCATATTCAAAATAAGCCCCTAGTTTTAAGGAAATGGGAGCCAGAGCTTCAGAATCTTAGTTTTGATCTGTCTTGTATGTAGGTTTGGGTTCAACTTCATAATGTCCCTTTGGAGCTTTACACTCAAAAGGGTCTTAGCTACATAGCTAGCGTAATTGGTAACCCTCTTTATATGGATTCTATAATGCTGCTAGGTCGAGGCTTGAATTGCCAAAGTGTGTGTTGAGCTTGAAGCTGGGGGTGTTATCCCTGAGTTGATTCATGTGTTTTTAAATGGATCTTCTGTGAGAATCAGAGTGTATGTGCCTTGGGTTCCTAAAAGCTGTGATAAGTGCAAGGTTTTGGTCACCATGTTAGCTCTTGTTGGAGTCTGGTATTCCATTAAAGCCTAAGGAAGCTAAAGTTTAGAGGAAGAAGGTTGTATCCTATACCTCTTCTGATAATGTGGTCAATTCTGGTAATCTTGTTTCTGTTTCTAATCTTTCTAAGGTTCTGTCTGAGCCTGTTCCTATTTGCAAGGATACTTCTTGTAGCTCTAGTGGTGAAGCCTTTCATGGGGTTACCTGTATTCCTGTCACAAGCATTCTGTTTATCTGTCTTGGATCAGTCTACTGATTTGGTTGTTACCACTGGGGGTCAGCAACAGAATAACAGTGGTCAGTGTAGTGTTTGTATTGTTGCTGAGGGTGTTGAGTTAGCTGTCTCGCAGGCTAATGACTTCCCTCCTCTTCAAGACTCTTTTAAAAAGAAGGCTAGGGGTAAGAAAAGGATGCGGTTGGTACCTCTGATAAAGTTGATAATGGCAGAAGGTACTAGGAAGACTCGTGTAGCTTCTATGGGGGTGGCAGTTTTGCTTAATGAGATAAAGGCTAAGAAAAAGGACCATCATGATAAAGCCAAAAGTAATGTGGTTAGTTTAGTCTATGGTAGTGGAGCGCCTCTTGTTTCCTCTTGATGATTGTTGCATTTTGGAATGTTAGGGGGATTAACAACCCCCTTAAGCAAAGGAAAATTTTAAGGAGACTGGTTTTTTTTGAGGTTGATGTTATATGTTTGATGGAATCTCGGATTAGAAGAGATGGTTCTATTAAGTTTATTTCTTCTTTATCTAGTGACTGGAATATTGTTGAGAATTATGATTCTGTTGAAGGAGGTAGACTTTGGATTTTATGGAGGAAGAATCTTTTGCTTTCTGTGCTGAGGAAATGTGATCAGGCCATCACCTTATTTGGTACTGTTGATGGGCACAGGACTGGCATAACTGCCATTTATGGTAGCAATCATGGGGTCCTTAGGAGAGATCTTTGGATTCATTTGAAGACTGTTGCTAATGATTTAAGTTCTTTCTCATAGGTGGTTGGAGGGGACTTTAACATCATTGCTAGTCCTGAGGAAAGTTTTGACTTTGAGGTCATGGGTGTGCATTTTACTCCTGATATGAGGGAGTTCCAGGAGTGTCTGGATGATCTTGAGTTGATGGATCATCATTTCCTAGGCCCTTTGTTACATGGTCAACAGACATGAGCTCTTTTTGGCCAGGAAACTTGACAGGATATTGGTCAACTCTCAGTGATGTTGGATTTCCCTGAGTCCTTTGTTGAATTCAAGGCTCAAGGAGTGTCAAACCACTGTCTGGGTTACTGGGTCTAAAAAAGGGTGTTTTCCAAGAGGCCTAAGCCTTCAAATTTTTTAAACTGGGATGGTTTTCTGAGTACTGTTCTGGAATCTGGCAGGTTCATTGTGAAGGGAACCCTATGCAATGCTTATTCAAAAGCTGAAAGACTCAAGCTTTGCCTCAAGATATTCAATAAGGAATTCTTTTCGGATATTTCTGGCAGAGTTAGTTCCAAGAGATCTGAGCTAGAACAGCTTCAAGTTTTTAACCTGTCTCATGGGATCAGAGAAGGCTGGATGATGAAAAAATTATTCAAGCTGAGTTAGTTGACCTAGAAGTTGCTGAGTCTGAGTTTTATAGGCAAAGAGCTAAAATGCATTGGTTAAAGGAGGGTGATTTAAATACCAGATTCTTCCATCAGAAGGTTGAGTCTAACAAAAAGAAGAATACCAGAGTTATTATGAGTGAGGAGGGCCAGTGTTTTGACTCTTTGATGAGATGGTTGCTGAATTAGTCAACTTTTTACTGGTCTCATTGGTTCCACTGATCCTAGGTTAGGGGCTATTCTTCTGCTAATCTCAAAACTGTTAATTACACCTTGCCTGATGTTGCTGCTGACTCTCATTAAAGAGGTTGATGATTTAGAGATTAAAAAGGCCTTGTTTAAGCAAGGTAAAGACAAAGTCCTGGACCAGATGGATATACAGCTGGTTTTTTCAAAGTTGCTTGGGACATTGTTGGAGCAGATTTTATTTCTGCTGTGAGGTACTTCTTTCACTCCTCTTGCATGTTACCTGCTTTCAACTCTACTGCCTTAGTTTTGGCCCCTAAATCCCTCAATGCTTGCTTGGCTAGAGATTTTAGACCCATATCATGTTGCTCTGTGGTTTATAAGACCATCACTAGAATCCTTGTGAATAGACTTATGCGATTCTTCCCTACCATGATCTCTCCAAGTCAGTCTGCCTTTATGAGGGGGAGGAATATTATTGATAATACCTTGTTAGCTCAGGAAATTGTTAAGGGCTATTCTAGGAGTAGTCTTTCCCCTAGGTGTGCCATTAAGATAGATATTCAAAAGCTTTGACTCAGTTAATTGGGGTTTCTTGTTGTCTGTTCTTGAGGCATTGGGTATTCCTTCCATCTTTTGTAATTGGGTCAAGGCTTGCATCACTACTCCTATGTTCTCTGTCTCTTAATGGGAGCCTTGTGGATTCTTTAAGGGTGCTAGGGGAGTTAGGCAAGGAGATCCCCTGTCTCCTTACCTTTTTCCTGGCCATGAATGTTTTGTCTTTCTTTTGGATGTTGCGGCTAAACAGGGAATCTTAAATTCCCCCAAGTGTAAGAGAGTTCCTCTCACTCATCTTTGCTTTGCGGATGATTTACTTGTCTTCTGCCATGGGTCTCTTAATTCTGTTTTGGGAGTGATGAGTACTTTGGAGAAATTTTATGAGTTGTCTGGCCTTAGGCTAAATGCCCAGAAAATAGAATTGTTTGCTTGTGGTTTGAGTACTTATGCTCTGGATCAGATTTGCACTGCTACTGGCTTCATATTAGGGCATCTTCCTGTTAGGTACCTTGGAGTACCACTGGTGACTATGAAGCTCACAGGTAAAGACTGTGCAGCCTTATTGGCTAGGATTAAAAACAAGCTTAGCCAATGGTCCAACAGAACCTTAGCTTTGGGGAGACTGCAGTTGGTAAAACTGTTTTATTTGGTATCTTCAATTTCTGGAGCAGGCAGCTTGTCCTTCCTAAAGGGATTATAAGGGATGTTGAGAGGCTCTGTATGCGTTTCTTCTTGAAGGGCAGTGACATCCCTGCTAGGGGTGCTCGTGTTGGCTGGAACCAGGTTTGCTCTGTAAAGTCTAAGGGTGGCTTGGGTCTCAGGAATCTTGTGGTCTGGAGCAGAGCATGCTGCCTGCTACTTGTCAGAAACATTTTGGCTGGTGAGGGCTTGCTCTGGATTGCATGGATAAAGGAGTATTGCTTTAAATCTGTGAGCTACTGGGAGGTTGTTTGCAAACCCCACTTTAGCTGGATATTAGTCAAACTTCTGAAGCTGAGAGATGAGGCTAGGAGACTGTTTCTGCCTTATGTTAACTGGAATCTTGTTAATGGGAAATGGATTTGGGATTGCATTTGTGAAAGCAAGGAGAAAGTTAGTTGGCATAGACTTATCTGGTTCCCGGGCCATGTTCCTAAGTTTTCTTTAATTTTCTTGGATGGTCATTCTTGATAGGTTACCCACGAAAGATAGGCTTGCTCGGTTTGGACTGACTGTGGATGCTGGGTGTGGCTTGTGTGGTGATGGTTTGGAATCTCGTGACCATCTCTTTGTTGACTGTTCTTATGCAAGAGGTGTTTGGGGGGCTGTTCTGAATGCTTGTAGCCTCTCGTTTGTGGCTCGTTCCTGGGATGATCTCCTTCAATGGCTCTTGGCTAACCTCAAAGGTAAATCTCTTAGAGTTCGTGTCCTTAAGCTTGTGTGGACTGGTTTTCTTTACTTCATTTAGGAGGAACGTGATCATAGATATCATAGAAATTTGATTCGTTCGATAGATGTAATTGTAAATAGACTGTTAGAGTCTGTAAAAATTAAGATGTACAGGCATGGATATTCTGATTTGAGGATGTAAGTAGTCTTTGCGCTTGTATGTCTGTGTCGGTTTGTAGCAGCCTTGGCTGCATTCTTTTGGATGGAATATAACTTACTTATCCAAAAAAAATGATAGTTGGATATTAAACATGTAGTTTATCTTATTTTTTATTGATAGTGTATCAAATAATACTTTAAAATCTAGTGTGAATTTATATAAAAAGTAAAAAATTACAATAATTGAAATTAGTAAGAGAATAATATCATAAAATGTTTTAGATGAATGAAAATTTTGGTATTTTAAAGGATGGATGGAGATTAAAGGTCATTATAAATTGTTGTTAAATGTTTTAATATTGCTGTTAGAAGCGGTTGATTTCATAGTTAAAAGTACAGTTTTATATATTATAGGATATCCATATCAAAGGTGTTATCTTATTTATATATTTCATTGGTTAATTAAATTTAAAATCATTAATATTATATCATTATTGAAAAAATTAACGGTATCTCATTATTAAAAACTGCATTATGATATTGACGTGTCATCGTAAGATAATGTCACGTCATTATTAAAAGAATAAAAATATTAAATTAATATTTTATAAATTTTTTAAATACAAATAAAAATCTAAACTAATCCTTAGATATAATTTTAAAAGTATAAAATTTAAAATATTTTTTTGTTACAATAAATTTTAAATATTAAAGTGGAATAAAAGTAATAGTTTAAATATTAAAGTGTAATTTATCCTGCAAAATCAGTCCGGGTTGTGGACAGTGCGTGACAACAACCACATATTCTTTTGGGTAAATTATATATTTCATCACTAAATTTTATTATCTCTCTTATTTTACTTATTAAACTTTAGAAAAATCTATTTTTCACTAAATTTAATATATTAAATTTTTTTATCAGTGGAGTTTACTTTCTCTCTTATTTTTTATTATTCTTTTGTTAAATAATTAAATATTTTAAAAATGATATTATTTTAAAAAATAAAATTTTTACTAAAATGATGTCGTTTTGTATCTAGATAATAATATATTTTAATATCGTTAACTATTTAACAATCGAGTGATAAAAAAGACTTAATGTATTAAATTAAAAATTAAAAAGATTTAATGTATAATAAATGAAGAAGGAGAGAATAAAGTTTACTCATCAAATTTGTAATTTACCCTATTTCTTTTCATAAGGACTAAACGGCCCTTTTGAAACGAAGCACGAAGTTGAACCACACATTCTGGTTGAGTAAACGACAAAGCCAGGCCACCAATCACCTTCGCTCTCTAGTTTTAACTTGAAGCTTCATACTGAGAATGGAAGAAACTGCGGCTGCTCTCAATTCTCAGCCACTATGAAACTCTGCGTATGCGAGGCTTCTTCCACTTTGACTCTCTCTTCATCTTCATTCCCATTGAACAACAACGACCCTTTTCTCTCCAACAAAAATCATCGCATTGCCTTCTCCACCGCACCCAAGACCTGTTCCCTCACCACCACTTACGCCAAAAGAGCCGCTCATCCCGGCGGAAACGAGGAGGAAACAGATAATAAGCCACAGAGGAACAAGAGGGTGCACTGCGAACTGGAAGTGCTTTCTTGGAGGGAAAGACGGATCAAAGCCGAGATTTCGGTTTCCGCTGACATCGATTCCGTCTGGGATGCTCTAACTGATTATGAACGCCTTGCCGATTTCATCCCTAATCTTATTTGCAGTTTTTTCTTTTAACCCATTTATCAACGTCACCCTTCTAGTATATTGATCGTATAATGTTGCTCTTCGGATGGACTGAGAAAGCCTGTAACCTCCTAAAAATTTCAAATTTTTATATATTTTAGACGTTTTCTCTATTCTTTTATTGAAAATCTGTATTTCCCTTACTAAATTGTGTTAGTTTGTTAGTCTATGCCGCCATTGCGAATTTGATGAATATCAAGGATTTAAATTGCAGTTGGGGTCCCATTGCCTTTATTATGATTACATATATAAGGATACTATATTTTTTTTGAAAGGAATCTTTTCTAAAAAAGAGCTATTTTTTATTAAAAAAAATAGAATAGCATAACAATAGGGAGAATAGCGGTCTGTTATTGCCACAATTAGCTGTGCTACTTTCTACAATAGCAGTTTCGGATGCAGCTGCTATTCTACTACGCCGTTATTTGAATCCCTGATGAATATCCTATATATTAAGCCCTTGAAATCTTATAAAGAGAATGCGGTCTCTCCTTGAACTGTGCTCATAGTATACATGGAAATTCAACTCCCTTCTTTAGAGCATGAATAACTCACTCAGTGGTAGAACATGAATGCTTCGTGCTGTTGTTATGTACTATTATAGTTTAAATGAAGTTATGTATTTGTCGATTTTGATCATTTCTTTCACTTTTACTCTTGTTGCATGCCATAAAGCATTGTGAAGTGTACACAAATCGGTTTCTTACAAATCATTATCTCTCCACACCAGGGATTTAAATAGGGGTTTGCTATCAGAATAGTGGCCTTTATATAGCAGTATCGATGTCGTCTGAAACCATTATTGCATAATCGCGATATCCACAATGATCGCAATAGTATCTGCTATGTCCTCAATTGCAGTAATCACAACTGAAAACGCTACCGCAACCACTGTTTAAATCCTTGCTCCACACCTTTACTTGAAGTTAATTTCAGTTTGGATCAAATTCTTTCTTATTTCCATCTCATTCCCTTCTCTGATACCTGACTGGAATGAACTTTGTCTGGTTGATAGTGGAAGGATTCCTTGCCCACATCCTGGACGAATATGGTTGGAGCAGAGAGGTTTGCAAAGGGCATTATATTGGCATATTGAAGCGCGTGTTGTTCTTGATCTCCAAGAAATTCCCAATTCAGTAAGCATCCTAAACCTTATAGTTTATGGTGTTGAACTGTGATATAGATACGCAAGTAATTTTCTGTTAGTCAATCACAAGATTTTGCTTCAAATACCTTGCACTAGTACAAATGGCTGTTGTTTTCTGACCTATTTTATCACTTATTTATTTTGGTTGCATAATTAACCACAAGGCCTTGCTTTTCTCAAGTTGGTACCTAATAGGCTAGAAATCCTCTGTATAACATCTTCCATTTCCCATGAATACTGCTATCTCCATGAGTCCATGTTATGCACATGAAATCAGTAGAAATCCAGTCTGCAACTTTTTCACTAAAGGTTTTTCTTCACAACTATCATCTTGATTATGTTTAGCTGATGGAAAGGAATGAATCTGAATTTTGGAGAAAATATTTGGGATCTGCTTGGCTTAGGAGTAAACAGAGGGAGCTTATCTCTGCCATCCTCTATGCACTGACATTGTGTGGTCTTTAAGCTTAAAATCAATAACACCCTTGGTTCCTCTACCGCTCATAGATCCTCAATGACTTCTTATATGATATGCTAATTGATCCATGAAACATTCAAGCTCCTCTTAAGTCATAATATCACAATTTTGGAGAAAATATAAAATTAACTTCTAACAATGTGATAATGCATGGACTATGAGTGAATAATCAAGAATGGAGAATGCTCATGAAGGCAAAGCAATGCTAAGCTCAATCTGAAATTTTGGAGAATGCTAATGCTCATTAAGCCACTAAGTTGATGGTTTAGTAAGTGACACTACTTGAAATAGGATATTGATCTGAAATTGGATCATATAGCATGTTTTCTTCCAAAATTTATTGATAGAAAGCTCTGACTTGTAATCAGTGCAAAGGGTTTTTTCAAAGAACTATATTGCAGACCCTTGTATGGATGTGTTTTTGGCTTCTATGTGTGTGAAATGCTGTGTGCAGTAGAGGTTTATGTAGTCTTATTTCTTTGGATTGTTAGTTCTGCAGAAATGACTTTGACCTCGTTTCATTTGTCTTGGTAGCTTTAGTTTTCACAAATGACTATCTATATTCTTTAATACCTACAAGCTTTACAAGTTGTTGCTTCTAATTCAGTCTAATGGTCGTGAACTCCATTTTACCATGGTTGATGGAGATTTTAAAAAGTTTGAAGGGAAATGGTCGGTCAAATCTGGAACAAGGTAGCATTGATGTACTCTATTTCACAGCCAACATGTTTTGGAATTCTTGCTTTTACCATATGATGTAAAATCCATTGTTCTATTTGACATTACTGTAGGTATGGTACTGCAATTTTATCATATGAAGTTAATGTAATTCCGAGATTTAACTTCCCTGCCATATTCCTGGAGAGGATTATCAGCTCTGATCTTCCTTTGAATCTTCGAGCCTTGGCTTGTCAAGCTGAAAAGATTTTTCATGGGAATCAGAAGATGTCAATAGCAAAAGATTTGGTTAGAGCATCTTATCCTGTTCTTTCTTCACCTGTTATGGACTCGGATGGTGCACCTTTAGGAATGGAGAAACCACCATCAGTAGACCTAAAAATAACTGGGCCTCTACCGTCTACAAGTGAGTTGAACAGTAACTGGGGTGTTGGAAAAGTCTGCAGAATTGACAGGCCTTGCATGGTGGATGAATTTCATCTTCGTAGATTTGATGGCTTATTGGTAAATAATTGATTCAAGACCGTTATCATTAGGCTTGTAAATGAACTAAACGTCCAGTGAACTATTCGACAGCAAGTTTGTTTATTTATTAAACGAACGAATATGAACAAGATTTTTGTTCATTTAATTAAATGAACGAACAAGAACACAGGGCCCATTCGTTTATTTATGTTCGTGTACATTCGGTAATCCATTCGTTTATGAACGAACATGAACAAACTACATTCCTTAACAAACGATCACGAACAAGAAATTCTGTTTGTTTAGTTGTTCGTATTCGTTTGTTTTGTTAAAGTTAACGAACGAACATGAACATCCTCATTCGTGTTCGTTCGGTTTGTTTACAGGCCTAGTTCTCATAGGGTCCCTTATTTTCTGTAAGCCACTTTTGTTTTAGCTATTGCTGATATAATGACATATGCTTTATCTGTTCCTGATAAAATGCTTTTGGGGTGAAGGAAAATGGAGGCGTCCATCGTTGTGTTGTTGCTAGCATAACCGTAAAAGCTCCTGTTCGCGAAGTTTGGAATGTTTTAACTGCATACGAGAGTCTTCCAGAGTAAGTAATTTTTATCCCCTTTTCTTGAACTCCAATCTAAGGATTTAACTGCATTTTTCCACCTGAACTTGTTTTATTTTTTTGAAAGCAACTGAACTTGATTTTTTTTATAAGAAATTGAGACCTCGTTAAAAACCCCCTTCATAATTTCTAGAATACCATATGATATTCCAGTAAAAAGCGGAAGGAGGAAAAGAATGCCTCAAATTTTATTAATTAAAAGAATAATACAAAACATATGAGTACAACCAAACTTTTAACCCAGTAGAGTAAACATAAAACAAAAGAAAGAAAAACAAAACCCAACCAAAACTCCCTATCTTAACTTATTACTTATTCTTGCCTTAGCTAAAACGTCTGCCTTTAAGTTTGTTGGCCTAGCTATCCAACATAGAATACCCTCCAAGTTTCTGTTATTATCTGCAATTTCTTTAGAAATTGAAACATACAAACTTGGGCATTTATCCAAGTTCTTAATCCACTCCACACACAACTAGCTATTGCTCTCAATAATCAACCGTAAAGCACCAACTAGAAGATTAAAAAAAATTAAGCCAAATTTAATGGCCTTCAATTCCATTAAAGGTGGAGGACCCGAACCAGCAACTTCTTGAAAGGATCCTAGCATTGTGTCGGAGCTATCTTAGAATCCCACCTATACCACTTGCCTTTCAATCACCTTTGATAGCAACATCCACATAATATTTTAGAAACCCCACAAGGGGAGGGGACCAAGAAATCTGATTTGCTGGCTGACTTTTTGAGACAAAGCACATGTCTTTGAGAGAGGGGTCACCAATGAGGGAGTCCATCGAAATAGGAATATTAATGAATTTTGCTAGAAACCAAGCTACTCATCTGAACCTTGCTGTGAAAAACAACTGAACTTGATCGAACACGCCCTTCTCGAAAACAATGGCATTCCTACATTTCCAAATCGTCCACATAACTACACCAGGAATAAATCTCCAAATAGTTGAATGAGGCACCAACTCCTCCCAAGCTGAAAGAAAGCAGTACGCATTTTCATGTATAACAGTTGAAATCTTCCACAAATGCAGAAACCTATTCCACAATCTCCACGCAGCAGTGCAGGAGAATAATAAATGCGAAGAGGTCTTTATTTCCAGCTTGTATAGAGTGCACAGTGGATCCAATATCCCAAGAACACCTCTCTTTATTAATTCAACCCTTATAGCCAATTTTTGATGAACTACTTGCCACATGAAAGTTTCCACCCTTGGAGGCACCAAACCCTTCCAAAGATAACTTTTCCAAAAATGATCTGGCACCAAACCCTTATACATAATCGACTTGAAAAAAGGGACTGTGATTTCCTCCGAAGGTCCCCTGAACGTGTCTCCTGGTTACGTTCGCTCACCCCACAATCTTTCTGAGCTAACCTATTAGAGTTGCTAAAGACTCCATCTCCACTCTTAAAATCAATCATTCTAGTCTCACCCTCAACTATTCATTCTTTTATTGACTCCACAACAAATTGTCCTAATTCTCCATTTCTTTCCCCAAAATAGAATTGGGCAATGTTAACAACTGGCTCAGAAAGATAAATCCTCTTAATAGGGAAAATGGGCTCATTACCATCCTCTGATTAGGCCTGCCCACTCTAGAGTTGTCTATCAAAATCTCTCAAGCCCAACCTCGCATACTCCCTATTAAACACTCTCCTAGTATCGAGGGGTTCTATCTCCTTATTATAAATGACTTCCATCTCTTTTTTTTGTTGCAATGATTGTTGATTCAAAGTTCCCTCTGGGTTGCCATATGTCCTCCCTTCCTCAAGCCACGAAGTAACTCGATTCAAAGACTCTTCCAGCGACTGTTCAGTATCCTCTTCAAACCACTCCAGCCAACCACCGTCTTGGTCCTCCGGCGTCACCTCCTCCTTCCAAACATCCTCAGAACTGCTTAGATCCAAATTCACCTCTGGTTTCACTGAAGTTGATCCAATCTTTACCCCAATCTTATACGACCTCCCATCTGCAAGAACAGTAACCAAACTTGGAACATCAAAAGGATTAACAACTCTCAATATCAACTTTGCAACCGACAAGTACTTTCTCCTCAAGGTCTCGTCATGAATGCCAACCAGTAAACCCCACCGACTCGCCAGAGTTGCGAAGAAGGTTTCATGTCAACAATTTAAAGGAACTCCACTTAGCTCAACAGAGCAATACGCCATTGGAACACCAATCTCCATCACCAGCCGATCAATCCATCCAAACCAATAAGACAATTCATCTTTCTTGTTTCGCCAAGCCTCCTTCAAGCTCTCCTCCGAGGAGAAAATTATTATGCAAGAGTTCCACGCATAGCCCTATCTAACTATTTTGACAACTATTCCGTCACTGAACAAAGCTTTTTGAACCACATCCAACTCTAAATCTGCCTTTTTTTTATAAAAAACAAAAACTCTAAACCTGTCTTTTTTTATAAAAAACTAAAACTCTAAACTTGCCTTCATAATTCCAGTTAAAGCAAACCTCATCCATTCCTTCTCTTTAGCAGGTATGAATACATTCTCCATCTTTTTCCTCCCAACATTAACTTTTTGATTTGCCAATGTTTTTTTATAAGACCTTCCAACGTTAACCTTGTTGAAAAACTCCCTTTTGTTTTCGGCGTTCCTAATATGCACGTTCAAATTATTCCTTGACCTTTCAACTGCCAACCCACGACTTGCTCCAAAATCCTTCTTTTTCGCGAACTTTGCTACACCAATTGAAACCCTTTTTTGATCGATCATCGTATTGCTAACCTTCGCTATGGCATTTGCCATGTTTTCCTGGCAACCAAAATGAACAAAGGCGAAAGTAGAATCCTTGTACTTTAGCCTTCTGTTTACTAAAGGACTTATTTTTTAATTCCCATATCTAGTGGCATTAGTTACATTTCAGTCCTAAAAGCTATAGGCAGTAGTTGTTTATAATCTGTTAGTTTAGCAGCTTATTACACTCTCTTAAAAAGTTTACATTCAATAATGTTGTTAATTAGGTCTTGGAACTCCACTTTTTAGCACTGCTATTTTGTTTATAGGAATAGGAGGTCTCATTAAAAACCTCCCTCATAGTTGCCTTATGAGAAGAGGCAACTAGCGGAAGGAGGAAAAGAGTACCTCAATATATTAATAAACGAAAATTACATAAAACTATATATTACAGATAATTACCCAAAATAAAATACCAAACATAACCACTATAACACTATAGACATTCAACCTATCCTCTCCTTAGCTAACTTGTCTGCCTCTCAATTACAAGCCCTAGGAACCAGCCTAACCATAATGTCTCTAGCAGAAATTAAAATCCCAATTTCCCCAATTAAAGAACTGAAAAACGAAGTGGCAACAAAAGGCCTCAAAATCCAATCCACTGTTGTTTTACAATCACTCTCAAGAATTAGACTACCCTTTAGCACCCATTCCGACAAAAGAAACAAATCAATGCCTTCTTTAATAGCTTTCAACTCAGCAAACAAAGGAGGACCTGGTCCCATAGACTTAGAAAAAGAGATCAATGTAGAGCCATTCGAATCTTTCAACAATCCTCCAATTCCACTCTGCAAGTCATCAGCTCTAACCGCCCCATCCACATTGAATTTATAAAATTCGGGCGGAGGTGGAAACCAATAGTGATCCTTCTTCTTTTTAGGATAATTAACTGCAATCCTGTCTGCAAGCAAATGATCCCCTATTAGTAAATCGACTTGGATATTAGTCTTAGGAAATTTAGCTAAAAACCATTTGGCCAACCTAAATCTGCAAATGAAGAACAGAGTAGGGCTGTCAAAGTTCCAGTTTTCGAACACCACTAAATTCCTAGACTTCCAAAGCGACCACAGAACCACTCCTGGGATAAAATTCCAAATAGAAGAAGCCCTTAAAAAGACCAAGAGTAAAGAAATGACAGGGGATCTTTTGGCAAAACTGTAGCTATCTCCCATAACTTGATGAACCTATTCCATAGCTCCCAAGCAACAGGACATAAAAAAAAGAGGTGTTGAATTGTTTCCTCCTCCATTTGACATAGAGGACAGAGTAAATCTACAAGGGGAACACCTCTTTTCTTTAACTCCACTCTAACAGCTAGTTTTAGGTGAGATAGTTGCCATAGAAATGTTTCAACTTTTGGAAAAACTTCATGTTTTTTGAACACTGACCCCAAACTTGTCTTAACCGTAAAAGATCTCCCATATGACCCAACGTTAATTTTTCCGGAATATCAAAGGGGCTCGCCACCCTCAGTAGCAACCTTACTACGGATATATCATCTCTCTTGACCGCGATTCATGGATACAAAATTTCCCCCACCTTGCAGCAAGTTTTCCATAAATGAAACATTCCAGTATAGCAATGGAACTCCTACCAATTCACCGAACAAAAAGCCAAGGAATACCATCCTCATTCAGAATAGGTTCCAACCATTCAAACCAAAAGGTTATTTCCTCCTTTTATTCAACAACAGCTCCTCTAATTCTTCAACCGAACTAAAGGTTATAATGCATGAGTTCCAAGCATATCCCCAGCTGGTTATCTTTACCGTAATCCCATCACTCACCAGACCCTTTTGAACTAGTTCCAAATCGAAAAGTGGTTTAATAATCCCCGTTAAGGATCTTTAACTCAATCCGATTCATATGAGGGTATGTGCATCTCCCACATGTTCTTCTTCCTAGAGTCCATTCTCATACGCCCCTCTCTATTTTGACTTATCCCCAGTTCAACTCCTGCCTTCCATTGCAGACCAGTGCATCCTTATATGTTCTTTCATCCCTCAGGCGATAGAAAAATTTTGCTCCTTCTCTCTTTTCCTTACCTCGCCCTTGTTGGAATTCTCTTCTTCCACTTTTGATTTGCTAATATCACCATTCCTATTCCGATAACTCTGTACTTTGCAGCCCTACAGATAATCTCTTCCATCAAACAATGTTCCATTAACATTCACAATCGCCTTCTCAAGTCTTCCCTTGCTGAACGAACGCAA